GGACTAGATCCGAGGGGTCTGAGCAGTTCGATATTTTCACGTTCGTTTCGGCCGTGGAGGGGGCGGGTTGTTATGCTCTCCGCTGACTGTCTCGTGAACACCATCCCTCATCACTGCGATGCGACTTCCACCTTGATTCTTAGCGAAAGCGGCCAAGAACGTGCGGGTAATTCTGGCGCGGACAATTAATTTTTCTTGCCAAGGAGTGAATGCTCCCATGAATCTCAATTACTAGGAATCGACCGACATGGGATGGAATTTCTCTCAGTAGACTGCGTATGGAACCTGAGACTACGAAAAGATTCCAGAGGAGATATCCCGACGTGTTTAATCCTTCTGTTTTGCGTAACGGAGTTTTGGGCGCAATCGTATCATGACCATTCATCCGAGACCGAAAGTTGCCATCGCTTCGATAAAATCCCATTCTCGTGAGACTCGGAGCTGCTTCTGGGTGAGTCCGGACGGCAGAGCCCGAGGGAGGGTTCGCTGTAACGAGCTTCTCTTCATGACGATCGTTCAAAGCGCACACTTTTGAATCAGTGTCAATCATTCCTGGAGCCATAGCTCACTGTCGTCATGCGCGTAACGAAGATCAGCGGAGCAGGTCTCTTCGGAGCTGTCTCAACAATCACAATTTGGGCCCACATCAATCGAAAGCGAACGTGGACGAAGACGGTGCTTTCGACGGCGAAAGCGGCGGCACAGATGACGTCGGTGAACATGCACCAAATGAAGTGATGGCGTCCCGCTTCTGTAGTGGACAAACGATGGACGAGCGGCGGTGGTCGAATTCGCGTAGCGTTGCATCGTCATGCGTGGCTTTCGTCCAGCGGTTTCCGCTCCCAGTCGGGCTGGCAAGAGGGAAAGAAGAGGTGGCAGTAGAAAGTTTCCTCGCCCGATTTGAAGGGACGGACACCCCACACTGCCAGTTCGAACCTCGAAGCCACGGGTGCGGTACGACGGCTCCGGTTTTACATTGAAGTGTACATTTAGAGCAGCAGTCGTCGAGTTGCAGCCTGCTGCGACAGGTGTCATAGCGCTCGGACTGTCGACGATCGTTCACTTGTTTGCTTTGGATGCTTTGGTGTTGCTGCCGCTTCCGTGACCATTTGTGACCAGACGGCTCTGCCGTCTCGAGGACGACAACGTGGCTCAGGAGAGCTATCCGAGGAACATTGAGATAGGCTATTTCAACAATGGTACGCTCCACGGGGACGTTTGGTTCCGTGCGTGGGCCCGTCGACGGCCTGCTACCGGAAAAAAGAGTGCATGCGAGAGTTTCCCTCGATGACATTCTCCTGCGGGAGAAATCGCCTGAAGTTCCGAGTAACCTGTTCATTGAATGTTCAAGTTTGACGGTTTTCACTCCGAAAGTTTTGTGCGAGAATTGAGTGGAAGATGAGTGAAGGAATTCGCGATAAAAGTCACCCAGGCGGGTCGTGGATGAGCTCAATTGCCGGAAGGCCACCGCCTCGAGTGCTTTTCTGACATGAATTCCCGGAGCGAACGCGGAGCTACGCGCTCGCGCTCATGATTGTCGGGGAGTCAGAATCTTCGTAATATGGATGGATCACTCCGATGATTCCCGCTCTCTCGGAACGATGCAGGGGCTCGGAATTATTACGCGGAATTTCGGAGGGTTCGAACCTTCCCTCCCGCTCGATGGAAGAATGAAATGGAGTAGGTAATCCCGAGAAAAAATGGGCTCACAAGAACTCGCTCTCGAACTTGAATCTCTCCGGAGGAGAAACTCTTCCCTGACGCGTTTCCGACGATTGATTGAAAACGAACATTTTGCACTCCCCTGGAATCGGTGCAACACCTGGGAGACCTCGGAGGTTTCGGATGAGGCTGCCAGGAATGCCTGGAATGAAGACATACCTACCGTCTGAGAGTGCAACTCCTAAAGCAACAAGTTTCGTAGCACAATGGATGTGTTATTAGGATGAAAAGAAGACCGACGGGAGAGCTCCATCCAATGCTTGCCTCGAATAGAGCTTTCCTTGGAACAAGCTTGACGAGTCCAAGGATGAAGAGGAGGTCTCCCACGGAGCAGCTCGGAGGGCAGGCCGAATAGCTCACGAACAGAGTAGATTCGCGATAATAACTCTCGAGTGCCCGTTTGAGCCGATCGCATTTCGCGGAGGGGCATTTTACGCAGAAATTTCAATGCTCGCCAAGTTTCGTATAGCCGCACGCCCGCCAGCCGCATCATTATTCAATTTTGAACCGTTCCAGTTGCCCATTATAAACATCCAGCCAGACAGACCTTGCGGCAGTTCCTCCCTTCGAACAGCTGCGAGTTCCGCGGGCTCTTCGATACTCTGCTTTCTGAAGTTTACTCAAATCGAGAACCGCTGGAGCTGTTCTCGAGGAGCGTTCCTCGCGGTGTTCGACGAATATTGCTCACCTGCAACCGAGCGGATCCGTCGAGATATCACGATTCATCGCAAGTGAAAGTCCCCATCTCTCGGGGGAGCATCGGATGCAGTTCGGTAGAGCTCTCCGGGGCACAGGGTGGAGTTTCGAGAAATAACGCTTGCCGTGGATTCTGAGAGAAGCCGATATCGGCACCTACAGGACAGGTGGATGGCGGCAAATAGAGTGACAGCTGCGGGCCGCAGAGAGGCCCACCGTCAGTGTCTGTGGGATCTGAGCTTGAGGAGAAGCCCCGAATGATAATTCACCGGGTCTCCTGAATCTCGAGACTGACACCTATCCGCCATATGCCCGACTTGAGTCTGAAGCGTCGTTTTGAGTCGTCTGTTTCTCCTTCTCTCGGGTCTCCCCTTCGCGACAAGTGCCTCAATCTCTTCGGCGTTTTGGAGCGAGCGTGCGTGCCAGCCTGACCACAGGGTCATATGTATAACCCCCAACACGTCGAGTGAAGCTTTTTCAAATCACGGAAATCGTCCGGGGACATGCTTATTCACGCTCGGAGAACGGGAATGACCTTGATTGAGCGTAGAGATACCGACGTGTGTGCTAAGAGGTGTTCCGCGATAGCCGACCGATAAGCCGTCGATGTCTCATCTTGACTCACGATCCTCGATGCTCCCGTGCGTCGTCCGGTCCGACCTCTGCCGGCCGTACTGCCGCTTCCTTCATTTCCGATTGAAGCATCTTTCGTGGCTACGATGATAGAGAATTCAGAATATCTCCAGAGTTCCTCTGAACTCCCGACCGACGTCTCCTGGGGAACGATCGCGCTCTTCCTTCTCGATCAAAGGCAGCTGCTTGCGAGTTCGCATGTTTCTTTGGGACTCACATCCTGTCAGCAAGAATCTCGTCTCCCGTCGCTACATCAGACCCCAGACGAAAGCGTGTCTACCGCGCAACTCTTTCGTTTCCTCTACTGAGCTGAAGGAGAACCCCCATTCCTCTGTCCACATTAAAAAAATGACGGATTTCAGGGCAATATTGAGGGGGAGATTTGAGTGCTTGAGAACAATGTCGTGATTGTTCGAGCGGAATTTATGTTACGAGTAATGATATTTCTCATCCTCATTTCCAATTCGATAAGTCATACATCCTAAGATCCCGGAGCGGCCCATACACTTGCTGGTCGGTCTGGCGGGCAGACGAACTGGCTCTGTGTCCGAATTGGCGATCCGTAATCTCTTCATTCTCGATGCACGCTAAGAGATTCAATTAGAAATATAAACAACGGCTTAGCGTGGTCTGAGTCGTTGAATCTTGTTCGCCGGAACGAGCAGGAAGATCGGAGCTTTCGCATTGACAGGCCGAAAGTTTGTCGAAATGGACTAAACCAGCCGAAAATGATCATGAGCACGACTGGCGCTTCGAAAAACCATTATCGGTCACTATGTTATATTTCATAAGAGAACGTCCGGGTTCCAAATCGAATGAAGTGAGAAGCATGTTGCTGCTGATGACGTTCGGGAGCGGTGGGGAAAACTCCGACGTGGTCGTCTATGGAATCGCCTCGCCCATTTTGTTTGGACGCGCTCATCATTCTCGTAGCGCTTTCCCCCTGGTCGTTATCATTCTCTCGATATTCTACCACCTTCGGAGAGGTCGAATGGCGAGCGCCGTCGGGCGAGTACCGAGTCCATTGACCAAACTCTTCTTCTTCCACTCTCATCGGCCGACTCTACAGAAGGGAGGAATCGTCGCCGAGAGGACGGCGCTTTCCCGGATCTCGAACACCCTGGCTTGAGCGAAGAAATAAGTTTCGTCGGCGGGAGATCATATTCCCGGCTTGAACCTGACTCGTGCCAGCTTAGCTAGATTCCCAGAAACCCCGATCGGGAAATTGAGATGGAGCATGCTTGTGCCGATGATCAAACCCGAGCGTACGTATTACCCGTCGAATACGATTCGACTCATGGCCGATTTAGGCGGGTGAAATATTCGACGAGCAGGTATCCAGGAGCACGACATTTCCCCCGAACTATCGATTACGACAGCTCCGGTAGCCGAGGGTTCTGGAAAGTTCGAAACTCGGGCTAAGCCGAGGGACCCGAGAGAAATAGCTATCATTTCTGGGGAGCGACCGAGAACTCCGCCGAGGATGAGTTTTACGCTCTGAAAAGTTCCGAGAGCTTGAAGTTTCTATCATGACCCTCTCTGCTCTCAGCGTCTCTTCCATACGGTTCTCCCTCGTTGAGCTTAATCTCAAAATGTGCCCTGTACTCCCAGGAGCCGCATCGATAGGAAAACTGATACTCCAGTGATAGGGGACCAGAGCGAAATGATTAATCCCCGTGAGAGAAGATGACGCCCCGCGCCTCATGTAACGGTCGAAACCTCCGTGCAATCAAAATTTGAGGCTTGAGCGGAAACGTCCGCCGGGAAGTCTTGAGAAATAAACTCGACCGCCCCCTTTCTGCGCAGTAGATTGCCTCGCTGGAATGTTCAGACGATTCCTGGGAGCGAGAGCGAATCTTCCCTGCTTGAACCCGAAACTCTACCGCGCTTGACGTCCATCAGATCTCCCAGGAGCAATTAAGTCAAGACATTTTTTCCCCGATTTCCAGATCGACGATTGTACGGCCGTCCCCACTACGGATTGAATGCACCCAGAGCGGCATCGATTCACGCAGCGTCGTCTGTCCATACTTATAGTCGACGATCCGGTGGGACTCTCATGAGGGCCGGTGCCGATGCCCAGAGCGTCGTACGCGAAGAACGCAGAAAACGAGCGAAGACACGATGCCTCGTCACAATCGGAGTCCTTCTTCCAGCAATGGCTGGAATCATTGGTAAGTCAGAACCTCCGTGCTCATCGTCATGGCTATCTTCTCCATTCAACGGCAATGATGACGCTGATCAGGTATGGCGGCCATCACAATCGACGATGAGCCACTGACATCTGAGCGGCGAGTGAGGAAGTCGATGACAATTACTGGGGCGGTGATAACGCGATTAGGGACGGCGATCTTTAGGTTGACTCCGACCCACTAGAAGATTCCTTTCTCGATTCGTGAGTTATTCTAACGTTGACCGGCTGGGAGCCGATATTACAATGTGAGCATTCAGGGGGATTGTCAACTGTATATTTAACCTCATCATTCAATCACGGTTCCGTCTCGCCCTCTCTTTGCTGATGATGACTCTGCGGAACGCCGCCGGTCGGCGGAATGCTCGATGAATGAGGGGGAAACGGGATTGAACGATCCGCGTAATAGTCCCAATCGCAGGGACATTTTTCGCGATTATGAGCGAGACGACTTCGCGATGTTCTCTTCGCGAAACGAGTGTTTCTTTGAGCGCGATTCCTGCAATCGAAAAATCTTCGGTGCTGGCTGCCGTCTGTACACGTCTAATCGCCGACAGCGGCAAGCAGGGCTCTGATAAAAAGCTTGGACCGGGCTTGGTGCACCGCTTGGCGTCTCGGCCTGCTTTCGCGGAATCCGCAGTTGTTTTGCCGCGTTCCTCTTCTTATATTTTCTCCTCGATGTTTGGGTCGGGCTGTGTTTTCTCCGAGCTACAGCTAAACGCTGTGATTCTGGCACCGAGCCTCCCCGTCACGAATTGAGAGCGAAGCTTGGAACAAGCTTCTTTGGACTCGATCAGTCGTCGAGTTCATAATTTACTTCTTGAACTTCAAGTCCGGTGGTACGATCGACCTTTCCGCTGGGATTCCAATCCATCCCTCCACCGATCGTGTACGCGTATACTACGCACCTCGCTATTGGAGAGGATCGAGGAGTCTGATCCCAACTCTATTGAAAATATGGATTGTAAATACATACATATGTACATATATTTGGTCCCTCGAAGAAGGCTCTTTCCCACCGGCGCCCACGGACGCAAATATTGTGCTTTCCTATTAGGGAGCTCATCCCCGGTGGGAAGAATTTCCGCCACTGGTACGAGCGCCGTCGGTCTTTACGAAGGCAAGCTCGTATCGATGCGACCCCGGGGTACCATAATCAATAGCTACCCGAACTGCTGATATCAGAGAGGTCACGCAGTCATCTGATCTGTCGGAAAGCGTTTCAACTCGTCCGTTTCCCGCCAGAAGACGATTTTCCGACCTTTAAACGCAGCTCGGAAAACGAAAGAGCAGTGTTAAAGATCAATGACGAGAACGATTTGAGCGCCGGCTTCAGACGAGAACTAGTCTTCAAACGAGGCGGCTGGATTTTAAATGAATGAGTGCTGCTCCAGGAATAGAGATGGAGATGAAACTGAAGTATTCGAAGCTAAATGAGGAGAAGGACAGACGAGAAGACAAGCATCGCTCATTCAACGGCGACTTCCTTGCCTCGTTTTTCCCCCTCGGCGCGTCTAAACGGCAACAGTGATCGCTCGTGTGATGCTCTCCGATTCTTTTTGCGCTGTTGTTATTTGTTTCGCACGTCGACGGCTGCTTTCTGCTTCGCGGGATGTCCCGATGGGGATTCGTTTCCTTTCTTTGTTCCAGGAGTGCTTTCCCTAAACGAGTCCGTACCTATTTTTGCCTTTCGGAAAAACTCCCGGATCCAGCGTGCAGACTCAACCTTCCGGACCTATGGGAACACTCGCTCTCCTGGTACAGTCTTTCGGGAACGAGATGGGCGTCTGTCGATCCATTCCTCCGAAAAATCGGTCGGCGTTCCGTTCCACAGTAATTCAGAAGCCTGACGCTGAGCGAGCTCCCGCATTCGGAGTCGGTCCGAGTGTTCGATCGTTGTTCATAATCGTTCGTAGCCATAGCTCGGAGGGGATGAAGATCCGTGACGGCGATCTTGTCTCCAGAGCTCAAAGCGTAAAATCACGATATTAATCGTCGTCATATAACGGCCCGGAAGACAAGCGACCGAAACGTTGGACGAAAGTGAGCCGAGTTGTCTGACGCTTCAGTCTGCTCCGAAAGTTGTCCGTATCTGTGTGCCTCCGTTTTTGCTCTGAAAAACAAAAACGTAATAAAAAGCGCTTTACGCCGCATAACGCTCGCTGTCTGTGCGATACATCGTTAGCGGCAGAAAAGAATGGACGACACACCGGTAGGAACTTAAACGAATGTAACCACGGCGGGCCTGACGTTGACACGTCGCTTATTTCACTCTCCCAGTTGAATGCACGCTACTGGATCACGTGTGATTAAACAGTCGAGCCTAAGAACACGGGACTGACTTCTATCGGTGGCGGGGATCGTTGTAGAAGGAAGTTCGAAAAATCCTTCAATATCCGAGCGACAGACCCCGTGCACCTCGCCTCGGACTTTCGTGTCAAAAGGAAAAAATCAGGACGGATCGGGACAGGGAACAATTCTCTGCTCCGTCGGACGGTTAAATTAATCATGCTAGCCGTTTCCTTCCCCCTCCGAGCCATCGCTCTGCTGGTAGAGAACGAGGATCCGTCCGCGTGCTTTTGCAAAGTGAGCGACCACAAAATTCGTTTCTAACGACAGGATCGTCAGCGCTGAACCGCAGCTCCTCAACTAGTAACGCTGACTTCACGTGTTCGCGTACTTTCCGTTAGCAACAGGCAAAATATCGGTCCGGATGGGGCTGTCGGCTCGCAGCGATGAGTGGTCGCATCGTAACATACAGAACGACCGATATGCTTTAACCAAGCTTCGTCTGAATGACGGCAGCGAATTTCCGCTGAATCCGGATTTTCTCGGGACCACGGCTGCTACGCCGCCGGCGGCGGTCGCTGGTCGCAGTCTATTGACGGACAGATGTTCCGATGGTTATTGACATTACGGAAGCCCGAGGAAAACGAAAGCCGTCTTCGGATAATTACTCTCTGAGCCTGTTCGCAAACGAATCGAACACGCACCGATTTTGGTGGCTACGGACTGACAACCGAACCATCGGAAATCAGGAGGACCCGACTATTCGAGTGAGATCTGATCTGGGTTGGGGGTGGGAACTCGAGAGGGATCCCCACTGGCCCCGAGCTCGAGAGAGCCCCAGCTGCGGAGAAGAAAATCTACGCTCAAATGCGCTCGGAGGTGGCAAGCTTCTAGCCACGAGCTCCACTGACAGAAGACTTCTTCCATCGGAAACCGCTAATGCCTTCCGAGTCGCGAGAGTGCCTACCGGAGAAGATCGCGGCGTCGTTTCGAGAGTCGCGCGCCGATACCAGAAAGTAGATGAGTCGAAGGAGCGAATTCAGCGCACGTTTCTCAAGGAGCACTTGCGTCTTTCGCCGATTAGTTCTCCGCGCATTTGGATCTCTGGGTCGCCGCTTCGACCGACGGCTTGCATGGCGAGCACGTCGCAATCCCGCAACCTCCAACCAGTGAATCGTACATGTGCTCCGCATCGTCGCGAAAACCCGATTGAATTATCAACTGCAGGATCCGCGAGCCGGGAATCGAGTGTCCACGGCTCGGATTCCGGTGACTATGGCCTCATTACAAGGCGTCGATTGCTTCCGATGCCGGCTACATGGCTGTGATTCGATTCCGCGCGCAGCGACATATTCAATAGCAAAATACTGGATGAAAACCGACGGAATTTCCCGCGACCGACGTTGTCAGCGCGTTGTTACTGACTTATCCGCGGACGTAGAAATTCTTGGCGTCGAATGAATATTCAGCTTCCGGGGAGGCAGATCAGCACCGAGAGGATCCGTACGAAGATCAAAACCTGGGGACTCTCACGGCCCCCCTCGTTCCGTTGAGCGTAGTGAATATGACGTGTATTACGTATGACGTATTCAATAATGGCGCGAGGAACTTACCGGGAAGCGAGTTGAGAGCCGCACTTTCACACCCCCGGGCTGAACGATCGCGGCATCGGCCGCCGCGGTGGCTGCCGCTTATTCGATCGTAGAAAGGCTCGGAACGTTTCGACAGCGTTTTGCGGGCCACAGAAGCATTCAGCCGTCGTCGTCGGTGAGAATCTCTCACAGAATTAAACCAAGTGGAAAACACCTTCACTTGAACGGCGAGATCTTTCTTGTGCCGCGGACGAGTCAATAGTCAATCAGCCAGTTAGCCTCCCTCCTCCCAGTCCCACGCCTTCTTTTCGTTCTCGACCTTTTTTCGCTCCTGTGTTTATCAGCTCTTCCGGTCTGGCTATGACAACACTCGCCGTCCCACGGAAGAGCGATCTGGACAGCTGAGACTCTGGCCGAGATATCGCGCACGAATGCACGCCGAGAGCAAAATCGAATCCTGGAAGCATCGTTCCCCCAACGATGATGGAGCATGTTCTCTCTGAAACGTACCGTGTTCAGCCTCTTACGCATGTTTCGATTCCCCGTGGGATTACTGCGGGTCGTTCGGAAAACGAAATCGAACCCCGATCCACACCGGAGTTTCCGCGGTTCGATGCTTTAAGACAAGCATCAGATGAGCTTCAACTGATGCTCTTTTGAACTCGGAACCGGCTTGCTGCATACATCGATTCCGATAAATGAATTCCTCCTTTGTTTTACAGCCGTTCCAACAATAAGGCTCGTAATAGACCCATACCCGACAGAAAGTGCTGACAGAAAAGCATTCCTCCCTCTGACCCAGATATTAACCAGAATAGTAATTCTGCCATATCCTTCAGCCCAGAACAGAAGCTCGCAACAGCGTTATACATACGGTGGTCGGAAAAGTATTATTCGCGTCTGGGTGGTGCGCTTGAGCGAGACGCAACAGCACGACATCTGCCTCCGCTGCCTTAGATGGCACCGAAATCCCGACCGTGGAATAGCAATCATCATCGATCGCGAACGCTTTGTGAAGGCGTTTCGCCGTTCTGAGAAATTACGGTCGAAATCAGTGCGGATGATATTCATGGAAATCGATGGGATTCGCAAAACGCCAAAT